ACCCGCGCCGCGGGGGGAGCCAGCAGCGCACGGGGCTGTTGGGGCTCTCCCAGGATGGAAGGGAAAGGGAAGGCGGTGATGTACACGTCCCCGGCCCCAGCCGTGTACATCACCGCCCCGCCCCCCTCCCTCGCGGCAGCCTGGCTGAGCAGGCAGCACTCAGCCAAGTGCCATGGCAGGGGGAAAGGGGAAGGGGAAGGGGGGCGTGGAGAGAGAGGGGAGAGAGAGGCAGGGGGGGGAGGAGAGCTGAGAGAGATGGGGGAGACAGTAGGAAGAGAGAGGGAGAGAGAGAGAGAGAGTTCAGGAGAGAAGACCTGAAAATCCCATTTTATGACAGGCTAATTGGCCACCATTTGAAGAAGAACCACCATTTGAAGAAGAATGATGGATTATTTGGCCCAACTGCCACAATCTGTGCAGTCTCCCTCACATCTTTGGTTCATTTCAATCACTGAAATTGTTGCATGAAAATCAGCTGAGGTAAGGGAAGCAATAATTGAGTTACATATGATGTCATAATGGTCTAGAATTATTGGCAAAGAGATACAAATGACCAGGGCTCGACAAATAATACAATCTACTCGCCCGTGGCGAGTAGATTGTGACCTGGAAGAGCCGGGTTTGGGCGATCTGCACATGAAATACTCCAGAATGTCACAAAATAGCTTCTCCATCCCTGCCCCCTCCCAAAAAAAACAAAAGAAAAAGCCAAAACCCATACACCACACACACACACACACACACACACCCACCCACCCATCACCATCTTTATCAGAAAAGTTCAAGAGGTTTTTTTTGTAAATAACTAGAGGAAGAAAAAGTGTTTTTTCTAACACAGTTTCTTCTCTACCTGCCAGAGAAGAAAGCAAAGCAAAAAAAGACAAATACTTTATACAGCAACAAGTGCACAAAAAGATTTGTTTAGCAAAAGAATTACTGCTAGAGTCTAGGGTCAAGTGGTCCTGAAATGTATTCAGAGGAAAAGCAAACAAAGCTTCTTAATTAACGTAAAGATCCAGCAGAAGCAGGTAAACAGTAATGATGCTTTGGTCTACTGACGGAAACTGAAGTGCTCAAGAGGTGGTGACTGAAGGAACATGAAGTCTGAGAGATTGGATTCAAGAAGCCTCAAACTTCTCTCCAAGAGTCACTGCCCTGATAGTACTAAAAAAAATGAAATTCTCACACACACACACACACACACACACACACACACACACACACACACACACACACACACACACACACAGTTTCCCTGCCCCAAGGCCGCTTTTGTGGCCAGAGAGGGGGGTTGGTGAGTATAGCAAGAAGAGTTCAGCTCCCTAGTTGTTTTTAAACATAAACTTACAAGAAAAGAATGAAGAACTGTTGAATCCATGTTGGTCCCAGAATATCAGAGATGAGATGGGTTAGGTAACATCTTTTATTGGACCAGCTTCTGTTGAAGAGAGAAATAAGCTTTCGAGTTTACACAGAGCTCTTCTTCAGGTCTGGGAAACTTACTCAGGCTGTTACAGGAAAATACAAGGTGGAAAGAGACTGTTTAAGTGGTCCAATAAAATATATTACCCTACCTCTTTTGTCCCTTTAATATGACAAAGGGTTAAGACCCCAATTCAGCAAGGTATTTAATTATATGCTTAAGTACCTTGCTGAACTGAGCCCCACATGAAGAGGCAAATATGATAAAACGCAATATAATTCAGAGCTAAGATGATTGGTACTAGTCAATTGTAACCACAAGTTCTGCTACTAAATGACAGTCAGAAAGACTGACCACTGATGCAATGGATGTGAACTGAGTACCTCAAGCAAGCATAAGATGACCTCTAATGTGGTGATCAATGAAGAACTTGGAGATAAAGGGAGCTCTTGTCAAACCTCCTGGATGCCACTTTAATATCAATAAACAAATTTTAAAAAACATAGTGGGAGGCATTCCACCTTGGCTCTGTACCACTTTCCTTACTATAGATGCTCTAGCAACTCCATAGTTTAATGTGCTATTACTATAGCACCAGCCACATGATCCCAGCAAGGGTATTGAACATATAACCCATGGACTCAGAACAGCAATCAGGCCTCTGCCAAAATAGTGAGGGGTGGGAAATGGCAATTTAAGACTATATCTTAGCCAAATCTGGACAAAATTTCACCAGACAGAGAAAAAGCACTTCTAAAGTCCAAGAGAATTCTCTTTATCAAACATCAAAGGTCTATTGCAGACAAGGGAAATGTGAGACCTTTGTGAAGAAAAGATTACACAAATTTATTAAACATGGAAGAAGTGTTAGACAAACTAAACAGAGGATTCACTACCAGCTACTTCATTACTATATCCCATATACATAAATGCACCAATTATATAGCAGTGAGATCGGTCATAGAGATCACGTCTATTTAACTATATGTTTGCATTCTCCCCATTATCCAAATACTGCTAACATTCCATATTTCTGAACTGATTTCAATCTACATACAAAACAGACTATAAAAAGGTTTTTCTTCTTTCCATGGCCCAATTTACCAATTCTAATGTCCAGGAATGTTCAAATCTAGGATCAGTAATTGCTTTAAATTCTAGTATCTTGTGTCCCACTAGTAATTATGCCTAGAAAAAGAGTGATTTATTCCCTTTTCAAATAGTGAAGTTTATTTGTTACCACCACGATACACAGTGATAAGTATTGCATCAGACATAAACTGAAATTATTCTGGAAAAAGTTATTTTTAGGTACATGTAAAAAGTACATAAACTTTTTATATCATCTTGGAATGATGGCAGACCTGTCTTTATACACTGAGGGTACACAAAAAACTATGAACAAAAATTCTAACAATTTTTAAAATATTTTTCCCTGAAATAAAAAAAAGGAAAAAGACACAAAAGTGATGAAAAATGGTCAAAGATTCTACTAACATAAAATGATTTGCATAACTTCGTCATGAAGTTTCTACCCTCAAGTAAAGCAGTTATTCAAATTCATTCCAATTAAGTTTTGCTGCACTATATCTACACTTCACATATTGCCAACAACATAACACTTATACAGTGCCGGACTAAGCCATAGTTGCGTCCCGGTCAGCAGGCACGCGGCGCATGCGCACAGTGCCCCTTACCACTTCAATCAGGTGACCCCCCTAGGTTGGCACCCCAGGCAGCTACCCGGCTAGCCCCCGCCCTTAATCCTGCCCTGCACTTGTAACACTGTCAGTAACAAGTTGTAGTGCAATAAAAGGTAAGGCAAAGGGAAAGACTAAGTTATTAAAAAAAAGAGGTTTTAAAATATATTATGAAAATGGACTTAATGTCCTTTCTTTTTAAAAATTCAGGCAAGTTCATACAGGCTCCCCTTGTGATTTAGTGAAAAATCATTAATATGATCGCATTATTTACTAACAACGTACAACAAAGTACATTTTCTTATCAACTTCAATTTAAAAAAAAAAAATCACAACTGTTTACAGCTATTCCAACATAACTCTCCAAATCTGAAAAAAGATGAAGTTACATGTAAGCTATAAGAGGACTATTATAAAAATTAGGTTAGCCTTCTTAAGAGTCAGTTATTATGCAAAATTAAATTACCATTGAGCACAACCTGAATTCCTAATTCATTCTTATAGCAGGTGTCAGAGATTTAAACTAATTGTCATCATTTATAAAAGCTGCTCACAAAAAGAAAGACGTTAATAAGGGATACAGTGTTCCAGAAAAGAATTTTTTCCTGTGTCAGATACTTTACGATGCCTTAGTAATGAAGTACCTGGATTAACAAGTTCCAGCTACTAATTCAGTATATATACAAAAAATAAGGAAGGGAAGGAAGAAAAGATGAAAATGCATTAGAGAAGACACATTAAAGGATCACAGCTGCAGATTTTCTTCTCAGATTTCAATAAATGCTTAAAAATAAATTTTCTACTTAAAATAAAAGCTACTAAATAAAATCCAGTGCATTAAATATGAGTAATTTACCTTCAAATAAACTGAGGTCTCTTCGTAGCCTTGGTCCATAAAGCCCTTCTAATATACTTTCAAAACCTGAAAACAAAAAAGAAATTTAAAATAGTTAACAAAATCCTTTACTCTCAAATCAATCAACACAGAAGCCACAACCAGCCAAATACTTTTTAAACATACATAGAAACTACATAGTTATAATTTACTGTGTAGAAATTTTTCTTTATCTACAGTGCCGTTCAACAGAATTAGAAGATCAACTTAGACAAGGCAATTGCCATCTGTACTGAATCAGCCTATTAAGCCATGCCCCAACAACCTTATCAGACTTAAAAATAACTACAAGGAATCTTAAAGGAGAGACGATTAACCTCAAAGCTTCTCCACAAATGAAGTACAGGCAGTCCCCGGGTTATGTACAAGATAGGGACTGTAGGTTTGTTCTTAAGTTGAATTTGTATGTAAGTCGGAACTGGTACATATTGTAGGGGAAACTCTAGCCAAACATTTCTCCAGAGCTCAGTTTTATTCTCCCACACCTCACTTCCCTCAGTCCTTTATTCTCAAGCTGAGATGTCTGCTGAGAAAAGCCGCTCCGCGTCTCCCTGGTCTGCTGGGGGGAAGCAGCTAGTGCGGGGTTGCCTCACCCCGTTTGTAAGTAGGGATCCGATGTAAGTCGGATCCATGTAACCCGGGGACTGCCTGTAGTATCTTCATTTCATTGAAGGGTAGGATCCTCCATGACAAAGATGTGAGCTTCAAAATAAAGTTATCTTCAGAATTATTACCTGAATATGCATTCTAATAATGAATTTCCAGTACTGTATCAGTTCTGAACTTGTCTAGATGAACACAAAAGCTGTTTCCTCTTTTTGAATTATATCTAAGATTACATAATGGTGCCCTCCTCTCCCTCCCCCCGTATCTTCCAAGAATTCTCCCTGGTCTCTCTCAAACACATATTAAAATTAGGATGAGACAAATCAAGTTTTTCAAGATTTACTGGTTTACCTTAGGCATCTATAAATATCAATTCCATAGGATTACAATGGAGGAAAATATGATGTGTCAGGAGCAACTGAGGAAGCCGAATGTGTGTTCAAAGTCTACTGCTGAAAGGGGGCAGAGGGTTTCCAACACTGTTGGAGTGGCAGGAGGGAGTCTCAATATATTTATATGCTACAGCTTAAGCGGAGTTATATTGCTCAGTGGTGTGAATAAGCTACCCCTAAAGTGACTTACATTACACTAACCAAAGTGACTTCATTGACAATGCTGTGTTGGTAAGAGAGCCTCTCCCACCAACACAACTATCAATCACAGGGGCTCGAGTAATTAAGTCAACAGAAGAACTTTCTCCCATCTTCTTAGAGTAGTGGTCCCCAAACTTTTCATGGCCAAGAACACTTTTGGAATTTAGGGCAACCCAAGATCAACCCTGCCTCCTTCTCAAGGCTCTGCCCCACTCAGTCAAACCTCCCTCTCTTCATGGCTAGCTCTCCCCACCCTCACCCACTTGTACTGGACAAAAGCAGGGGTTGGGGCCTCAGGAGAGGGATTGGAGTGTAGAAGGGGATATGGGTACTAGCCCTGTGAGAAGGTTCAGAGCTAAAGGCTGGGATGCAAGATGGGGTGCTGGCTCAGCAGGGGGTCAGGACTGTGGCTTAGGGCTCAAGAGGGAGTTCAGGGTGCTGACTCTTAGAAGGGATGTCAGGGCTTAGGCAAAGGTACAGGAGGGAGGGAGTGCTGGCTCTGGGAGGGTTGTGGATTGCAGTGCGGGCTCTCATAGCATGGCACTTACCACCAGAAAGTCCAGGTCAAGGCCAACACCGGCTCTCTACTTGCCCTAGTCCCATGCTAGAGCCTTGCACAGAAACAAATGTGTACCTGAAGATAGAAATTGGAATCTATTGATCCATAGGGCTTTGCTCCCAAGAGATGCAGTGGCCAAGAGGGGAACACTGCCACTACTTCCAGGAACCAGTGCCTGTATCAGCAGCTCCTCCCAGACATGTGGCTGTACCACTCTCAGGCCTTTTGCCAGCACGGCTATATGACCACAAACAGGAGACACAGCTGGTGGCAGCATGGCTGGGAGGAACTGCTGGCACAGGCTCCTAAGAATGGTGGCACCATGCTTCTCTTTGGTTGCTGCAGCTCCTGGGAGCAGAGCCCTGCAAATCAGCTGATAACCAATGTCTATTCCTGAGCAGACATTTGTACCCACACAAAGCTCTATACACAGCTCCCAGAAGGGACCAACGAGGCTCTCTGGCCCCAGGAGTGGGAGGCATATGGCTCGGCATGCTTCCCTTCTATGCCAGCACCAGTCCTTTCACCTCCCATTGGCCACAATTTCCCATATCAGGCCATTGGGACAGCGTGTGCAGGCAGGAGCAAAACGTGGAGATCACTGCACTCTCGCCCCTCCCTCCACACACACAGAGCTGCACTGGCTGCTCCTGGGAACAAGCTGGAACTGTGGAGCCAGAGCAGGCAGGGAGCCTGCTGAGTGCCAATCGAGACTGACTGGGAGACCCCATGATTGACCAGTTGATCGTGAACCACGGGTTGGTGACTGCTGGCTCAAAGCATCTGCACTAGAGCGCTACAGTGGCACAAATCCATCCGTTTGGCCATGTGTCTCTAAGCTCTGGAGTACAGTCATTGCCCAAGTATACTTAAAGGGAGTATTACTGCTTTTATAAATGCACCCAGTTGCTCTTTTTACTCCTACTATAAACTTTTGTATAATTCATTTTCATCTAAGGCAAATATTAAAAGCAGTACATAAAGCTTTAATTATTGGTACTCAAGTACAGTCCTTAATAAAGATATAGTTAAAACATTATTTTATCCTTTTACTCAACAGATCATACAGGTCACTTATATGTGATCAATTACGATTTACATATTTGAACTGGATTTTCAACTTTACTCTCTCCAACCTGGATGAACTACAAGGCAATGCAACAAACTACTGTCACATCACTAAATCAAACCTTATTTTATTAAGTAGAATCACAGCTATCCTGGTGAGGAAAAAAGGTGTTTTAACACATACTAATTAGCATACAGATTGAAAAAAGATTGCAGCTGAAGCTTTAACATGTAAGTTGATTGAGATAAGTTTTATGGCAGAATCTAGAGTTTAGCTAGACTAGCTAACATGTTAGAACCACAGCTGGCCTTGTCTACGCTAGAATTTCAATGTGTTAAAACACACCTTTTTTTGAAGTGTAAACTAGGGATGCAAATAGGTAACCGGATATGGTTAACCAGCACCCAAGAGCAGCCCCCTTCCTGCTGCCTACCACAAGGTGGGGGTGGTGAGTTGGATTTTGCCATATACAGCAATTTACAGATAGTTAGCTACCTACAATATTGTCACCTTAAGAGACATTTTACTAGTTTGCCCCTCCCCTCCAAAAATCATAGTTACTACAATTAAATACAATTACTTACTTTGGGGCAAGTCTGCACTACAGCTCTACATTGGATGCAGCTCCACTACTGTAATATGTTGAGAAGACACACAAGGCACTAAGAATGCTCCCATCAGCATAAGTTACTCCATTTTGGCAAGAAGTGAAAGTTGTATTGGCAGGAAAGCATCTCCCACTAGCATGGCACTGGTGTGGACAGCACATAACTTGCATCACTGAGGAGCAATGATGCTTTTTCATCCCCCCGAGCAATTCAAATTAGATCCACATCAGTAATACAGATTGCACCTATATAAACTGGGAGACACTGGTTCAGGAGGACCATGGATGTTCTAGGATCAGAGAGTCTCAGCACACTATAGAGGAGGTAGCCCAGCATGCAGCCCAGATGGGCTGCGAGAAGTGGGAGAGCCAGGAAGGATAGTGGGGTGGCAAGGCAGGGCAGGGAGTAGGGGGGCCAGAAATGACCTCCCTGGTCCAGCAAAGTATCTCATCCCAAGGGTGATCCAAACTGTAGCGTAAACCTGCCCTATATAATATTAACTAAGAGACAACTTTAATTGATGATGTTGGCAGATAACTTTGGATTTTCTTGCCTTTTTCTAGGTTAAGAGAGCAATAATGGCCTTGATTCTGAAATGCCGACCCATTTCATTAGTATGTTTCATGTATGATACTGTTACTTGTTCTGACCCCAGTGATCAATCGTTCAGGATTTTGTGGCCGTTTCCATTAACATAAAAAAAAAAAAGAGTCTGATGATTAAATCAAGTATTTCTTTGATGTAATCTAATTTATTTACAAAGCAAGTACACACAAATCCTGATTCCCTGAACACAAGACGAATCCAACTAGGAGGCCAATTTTTTTGCTCACTTCCAAATCTCCTCCAGCTGACACGGTGCCCGAAATGTTCCATCTCTTAGCATTCGCTAAGATCCATGTTACCAGTAGTTTCTTATTTCCTTCTCTATCTGTTCTCCCCAGACACATACAACTTTACAAACAATACCAGTCTACCTGTTTTTGCATTCAGCTCCCAGCAAAAAACTTTGCGACCCATGCAGCTCCACTTCTGGCCAACTTTCTGTATCATTTACTTTTTGGGTGAATGGTTACTATTGTTTCAGCTATCTTACTCCCAAAAAATTAGCTTAATTGCTTCATACTTTTATCCTGAATGAGGGGGACGCTATTACACTCATCTGCTTCAAGAAGATTTCAGTCAATGTCTAGCATAATGACCTGCTCCCACCCCAGTCTCAGCTCTGCCCATTGCTCTACTGGAGTCCAAAATGTCTTACCAATCCCAAAAAAGAGAGCAAATAATTCACAAATTACACGACACAAGCTTAACCATTGACATATTTACACAGTGGTTTTGCTAAGATACATTCACACCAATCCAAACTAGATGAAAGAAAACTGGGCAGGGAGAAGAACTCCAAGGAGATTTGGATGGGAGTAAAATCAATCAGATGGAGCCTGTTTCAATAAGACTTTGATGAATGCTTATTTTACCTGTGAAATAGATGGCCTGGGACAGAATGTCCATTTTATTCTAAAGGAGGAACCATCACAGCTCTCCCAATCTACGTTTCCAGTTAAAAATCTCAGTTTGTGGGTCAAGGAGTC